TATTTCCTTCCCTGGCATCTAGGCTGGCCCTGCACCTTGACTGACCCATAGAAGCAGCAGAAAGGACCGCAGGGCCCAGGCATTAGAGGATCTGTGGCTTCTGTCTGTGTTCTTTCAAGGCCTTTAGTCCCAGAACAAAGAAGTTCAGGCTGCCCATTTAGTAAGAAAATCCTGAGGAAGCCCCTAGCTCCCCTAGTTATCAGCACCAAGTTTCCAGACTTTAGTCCTCCAAATCTATCCCAGATGACACTCTGTGAAACAGGGAGACAATGGAGGTCCCTGCCGAGGTCTTTTTTTTTTTTTTTAATTTTGGAGAGGTTTTCGCTATAGGGTGCGTGCGTTTGCCAGCAAGACAGAGGGAGACAAAAAGCAAGAAATCACCCCCCAGGGAGGATGTCAATGCTGCAGTCCCTTCCCCTTCTCCATTCTCCTCTTGGGATCTTGGGCACGCATGCACACACGCCCGGCGTGAGTTTTAAGCCACCGGCTCTGGGACGCAAACCGCAGTCAACTACGTGGGAGTCCAGTGACATAGCCATTACGCTAACTGCTGGTCCCCCTCCTGAGGTCTTTTCAAATGCAGGTTCATCAAACCCTGAGTAAATAAAAGGATTGCTGCTGTAAGTCACTAAGACTTAGTGTGACTTGCTATGTAGTAATAGATAACAGTGACATAGATCAATAACACCCAAAATTAGCTCTTCTTTTTCTGTAATTGTTTGTTTTTATTTATTCATTCATTTATTTTAATTTGACCAGAGAGAGACACAGAGAGAGAGAAAGAGAATGTGAGAAAGCAAGCCACCAGGTCTAGGACTCAAACTGTGGCCGGTCATATGGGAATGTCCAGCATCTTAACTTTTTAAAGACTACTAAAGTAGATAGATCTTTAGTAAGGTGAATCAAAAGAAAAGAAAGACCAGCAGAAAAGAGGGACCAGCAGTTAGTGTAATGGTTCTGTCACTGAACTCCCATGTAGTCAACCATGGTTCAAGTCCAGGACCCGGTGACTTAAACTCACACCGGGCGTGTGTGCATGCGTGCCCAAGATCCCGAGAGGAGAATGGAGGTGAAGGGATTGCGGTGTGGCCATCCCCCCTTGGGGGTGATTTCTCACTTTCTGTCTCTCTGTCTCTCTGTCTTTCTGGCGAGCACACACATCCTATAGCAAAAACCTCTAAAAAAAAAAAAAAGAAAAGAAAAAGAAAAGATAAGAAAAGAAAAAAGAAAGAAAAGAAAGAAGTCATAAATAACCAGTAACAGAAATAAAAAGGAGGCCATGACTACAGAAAGTGCAGATATTAAAGAGACATTAACAGAGAATTATACACAAATTTTATGCCAAAAAACTTGAAATGAACACATTTCTAGAAAAATAAAACTTTCCAAAACCAACTTAAGGAGAAATAGAAAATATGAATAATTCTATAACCATTTTTTTAAAAATTGAGGAACCAGCTGGCATGGAGATTAAAGCACTAGACTCCCAAATGGCTGATCACTGACTGTTCAAGTCCCAGACCCGGCAGCTTGAAACTCGTGTTGGGTGCATATGTGTGTATGTCCAGGATTCTAAGAAAAGAATGGAGGAGAAGAGATTGTGGCAAGGCCAGCCACCCCGGGGGAGGGGTGATTTCTCACTTTCTGTTTCTCTGTCTCTCTGGCAAGCACATGTACCCTATAACAAAAATCTGTCTCCAAAAAACCTTGAATCAGTCATCAATCATATGAATACGAGTGTTCATGACAGCAAAAATAATATTCTGGTCTGGATGACCTCATTGGCAAGTTCTATCAAATATTAAAGGGAAAAAAAAATCCATTCTTATTGGGACCAGCAGATGGTGTAATGGTTACATTGGTAACCATAGTTGGACTCCCACATAGTCAGCTAAGGTTTGAGTCCCAGACGTAGCTTAAAATTCACGACAGGCGTGTAAGCATTTGTGCCTAAAATTCTGAGAGGAGAAAGAAGAAGGAACTGCACCATGGCCATCTCCCTGGGGGTTGATTTCTCATTTTCTGTCTGGGTCTTTTTCTATCTCTCTCTGTCTCTCCAGTGAATGCAAGTGTCCTACAGCAAAAACCTTTCTTTTAAACAAAAATCCATTCTGGGGACCAGCAGTTAGTGTAATGGCTATGTTGCTGGACTCCCAGTTGACTGCGGTTCGAGTCCCAAACCCAGTGGCTTAAATTCATGCCAGGCGCGTGGGTGTGTGTGCCCAGGATCCCGAGAGGAGAATAGAGGAGAAGGGATTGCAGCGTGGCCATCCCCCCTGGGGCGTGATTTCTCACTTTCTGTCTCTCTGTCTCTCTCTCTTTCTGGTGAGTGCACGTGCCCTACAGCAAAAACCTCTCCCCCCAAAAAACCCATTCTTATTACAAACTGTTACAGAAAACAGATGGACTCCCACATACTTGACTGTGGTTCAAGTCCTGGATCCGGTGGCTTAAACTCACACTGGGCAAGTGTGTGTGTGTGCCCAAAATCCTGAGAGGAGAATGGAGGAGAAGGTATTTCTTGCTTTCTGTCTATTTCTTTTCTTTTCTTTTTTGAGAGGTTTTTCACTATAGGGCGCGTGCACTCGCCAGACAGACGGAGAGAGACACAGAGACAGAAAGCAAGAAATCAGCCGGGAGCCGCAGTCGACTACGTGGGAGTCCAGTGACATAGCCATTACGCTAACTGCTGGTTCCCTCTCTATTTCTCTCTGTCTTTCTGGAGAGCGCACGTGCCCTATAGCAAAAACTTCTCAAAAAAGAAAGAAAGGGAGGGAGGGAGGGAGGGAGGGAGGAAGGAAGGAAGGAAGGAAGGATATCTTTATGGTCTCAAGGTAGTTGTTTTGTTTTTGTTTTTGTTTTTGTTTTCATTTTGTCAGAGGGCATATGCACTGGCCAGAGAGACAGAGAGAGAGAGTGAGGAGAGGGAAGAAGCACCCTCCATAGGGAATGGTGATGCTGCAATTCTCTCTTCACTTCTCTTCTTTTGAGATTTTTGGGCACGTGTGCACCAGGTCAGGGACTAGCACCATGCAGTCAGCCATGTGGGATCCAGCTCCCTTAGCCACCAGGCCATGGGCTGGCCCAAGGAGTTCTTAATTAAGATACAAAGAGCATACCCCCAAAAAAGTTGAAAAATTCATGTACTTCAGAATAGAGACAGAATGTACAAATGGACAACAGCCAAGTCCTCTATGATGACGGGACTGTGACCTGAACTCCGCAGCAACCAACCCAGAAGGCCAAACACAACCTCTGCAGCATCAGCCCAAAATGGAAAGGCCTTGGCTAATGACTGCCCTCCTCTCTGCTTTTTGCCCCTGCTTCCAATACAAGACCAACCAGAGGAAGCCAACTGTGCACTGCTGATAATCACTGAATGCTCTGTTTCTAGCATCTTCTCTCCAGCGTCCCCATGCCAGCACTCTCCGACAGAGCAGAACTGAAGCCTTCCTTCTTTTCGCTGAAAATCTTTCCCACTCCCCTGCTTGCCTTTTCATCTCTGCCAACCTCAAGTTATGGCTTGCTATAGCCAACGCTGAGGGGAAAAGCCACTATTTATTCTCATTTGGGTGGTCTTCCTTTATTTCCACAAAATTAAGGATTTCACTTATCAGAAGTCTCCAAAAAGAAAAAAGAGAAAGGCATGCTTTGGAGTGGGATTAGATATTTGCCATCTATGTGACCTCAAAGAGCCCGGGCCCAGTTTACAAGGAGAACTGCAAATCCATGGGGGAAAACTTGACCTGGCACTTCATGAAAGAGGAATTCAAAGGATCAATAAACACCCAAAGAAGTTGTTGGCCATGTTGGCAATCTGGAAACTGTGACCACCCTGTGTAGTAGGCCCGGCAGGCATTTCGCCGACGTGAGCGGCAGCTCTGGGGCTCCCTCCCAGGAGGGTCCAACTCTCCATCCCATACTCACTCCTTTCTCTCTGGGAGCTCCAGGGCAAGAGTCTTCCTGCTCCTGGCCCTGCACCCAGGCCCTTCATCTAGAGACGGTGAAATATCATTTCCAAAGCTCTTTTCCATAAAAGACCCTGCCTTCTTGGACACAGAACCACAGGAGGGGAGAAGGGCAGAGAGGGATTGTGGCAGAGGCATGATCTGCTCCTAGCCATAGGAGTCAGGAAAAACGCAAAGCCCTGGCTGGCAGCCTACTCATTCGTTCAAGGCTCAATAGGCCCAGGGAGAGACCAGCAGTTAGCGTAATAGCTATGTCGCCGGACTCCTACGTAGTTGACCACGGTTCAAGTCCCAGACCTGGTGGCTTAAAATTCATGCTGGGCACTTGCATGTGCGTGCCCAAGATCCGGAGAGGAGAATGGAGGAGAAGGGATTGCGGTGTGGTCATCCCCCCTGGGGGGTGATTTCTCACTTTCTGTCTCTCTGTCTCTCTGTCTGTCTGGCAAGCACACGTGCCCTATAGCGAAAACCTCTCCTAAAAAAAGAAAAAAAAGAAAAAGGCCCAGGGATAGACAAATAGGCCAAAAGAAAGTTCTAAGATGGGTGGAAGCCACTGAAGGTGTGGGCAATCCTTTAGAATGTATCATCCTGAGACCTGCCTTCCTCTGTCCTTGTAAGCAAAAAGCAAAACAAAGCCCATGCATTGTCATTATCAAAATGCACTGATTAGTGATAGTGTTTGCACGTTAAGGATAAGAAAAATCAAGGGCCAAACAGGTAGAAGACCTTGCTCGTAGCCACACAGCACGAAAACTAGAACCCAAGGCCATGACTCTAACTCCTGGCTTGCCCCCACCATGCAGCTGCCGACCGCCTATAACTCTCTCCCGTCCCAAGCCCAGCCTCTTGCCCACAGCCTTGGGACATATAACCCTCCATCACTTGAATACTTCCTCCGCATCCCATTCGAGCAAACCAGCCTGCTGTGTTAGGACTGTACATTTCATGCTTTTTCAAAAAGACACGTTCCTCCGCAAACTCCTTGCCTAAGTGAAATGGGACACAGCGGGGCTGAGCCAGAGGCACACTTACCTCGCCCCAGAGGGAGCAGCAACCCCAGGAGGAAGATGCTTAGCTGTAGCCCCATGGTAGAGTGCTCCAGGTGTCATGAGCCTCCAGACAGCCACTTCCTCAGATGGACGGGTCGGGTCGCACTCCTCCTGCTGTCACGTTCTTCTGTGATTGGACAGTGCATCTGTTTTACTGTGTTCACTTCTGCGGGATGGTAGCGGCTGGCTGGAAATGATGGAATATGAACATTTAGGCAGAAGAGTTCTTGCAGCAGATGAGCCAAAGTCAGGTAGCAGGTTCTGGTCCTAGAGGCAAAAACACCAGGACTACACAGCCACCTTCTTATGGCCTTTCAGGAAATCGCAGCATCAGGGGATGGGTCTGCTGGGAAGAGCGCAGGCCTGAGAATCCTAGGGGGTGGGCTGAAATTCCAACCCAGCCTCAGCTGTGGGAACTGGGGTGCTTCCCTGAATTTGGCCTCAGCTTTCTCAGGTAAGCCAGGAGATAAGGGACACCTGGCGTGAGAGTTACGTTGTAACAACTGTTAAGTAGTGAAGCCACCTCCAAATTTACATTCTCTCTTAGTATGAAATGCATCCTGCCCTGTCTTCAGAGGCCCCCTGGCTCCCCTGGTTTGTTTGATTTGCATAAGAGGTTTCTTCCCATCTCCCCCAACCCCAAAGCCATGGGTGGCCAAAAGGCAGGGCGAATGTGCACATCACATATTTATTGTCTGCAAGTTGAATGGAAAGATTCAGAGACGTGAGCCGTCCATCTGAGTCTGACAGAATCAGCAGTTTCCTTTGGGCAAACTGATTGGAGAATGCTGGGCCAGGGCACAGCAGGGTAGACAGGGCTGGAATTTAAAGCCAGAGTGACAAAATAGCCTTGAGGGGGAAATTGACTTTTGTTCTCACAAATCTCAAGGAATGGTTGCCTTGGTTAATGTGAGCAAATGTATTTAGATCAGCCGCCCTCGTCAAGGTGAGGCTGAGAGCCTGACTGAGGTCTACCTAGGAGCTGGACCCTGATTTCCCAACCCCCAGCCTCAGATTTCAACCTCCTAGCTGACCTGGATATTTCTTCTTGTGTTTTAAAAATCAGTTATGGCTCTGTTGTTTTGAATATGAAGTAAAAAGTAGGCAGTCCTTTGACCTCAGGCTCCCGATTTTCAAATGTCTTCCTTTCCTAACTCGGGAAGATGTAACTTGTGGTGACCACTGACTCAGCCGTGGTAAAAACTTAGCCTCAGGACCCTCAGGTCATCTTGGGTCATGGCAGAGTACGAAGGACCAACCTTGTAACATTGTGGTTAGAGGAGGCAGATCCCACAAGGCTGACTGTGGTTCGAATCCCAGGCCCGGTAGCTTGAAAAACATGCCTGGTGTATACACACACATACCTCAAATCCCAACAGGATGGAGAGACTGAAGAAAAGGGAGTGTGGTGTGACCACACTCCATCAGAGGGTGCTTCCTCCCTCTTCCTTTTTTTGTCTCTCTTTGGTAAGCACCATACCTTCCAGCAATTCAAACAGTAATAAGAGAAAAAAGAGAGAAGTATGTGGACACTGGCACACCTAGCATAGCTGGCCACTGGATGATGAAGGGCTCACACAGAAAAGAAAGGAGAAACTCTCCCTGTGGTCTGCAGGGACTACTGGAGAATGGCTGTCCCTGAGCTTCTAGACACTTGTCATCTGCACCAAACTACCCCCAGTTCGATGAGAGACCTAGAGCTGGTTCCGCTTCCGCAGCCAAGCTTGTCAGGGGTCTGTCCATCCCTGTGCCACCAGCGGCTTTGAGAAGCATCACCGAGCCTGCTGGGACTGAGTGAGCATTCATAGGTCCCCACTCACGCTCGGGCCGGTTGGAGCTGGGTGGGAAGCATGATGGGACGTGGGCAGGCATACCCTGGCTTGCCACTGTATTTGCTCCCATCTCTCACGGCTTCTCCATTAGACCACCACATCCTGATCAAGAGGGGCCAACGTGCTGTCCTCCAGCCTCCAGAAAAGTGGGAACAGATTTTTTAAAATCTGTGTAATATGGGGCCAGCCAGTGGCATGGCGGTTAAGGTGCTGGATTCCCACATGGCCAACCACGGTTTGAGCCCCACACCTGGTGGCTTGAGAATCACACCAGGTACGTTTGTGTGCATGTTCAAAATCTCAGGTGCAGAATGGAGAAGGGATTGTGGCATGGTGATCCCCCAGAGCAGTGTTTTCTCAGCTTCTCTCTCTCACTCTCTGTCTCTCTCCAGCAAGAGCACATGACCTATGGCAAAAACTTAAAAAAAAAAAAAAAATCTCTGTAATGTCTATGAGGCATTTTGGTTTAGGACAGATTAAATACTTTTAGATAGAAGAAATCGTGGGGGCTGCACAGTGGTAAAATGTGATGCTGTACAAGACTGACCCACATGAAAAGGTTCTGAGGGCTGGCAGGTGGCACGGTGGTTAAGGTGTGGACTCCCACATGGTTGACCATGGTTCAAGTCCCGGATTGGTCAACTTTCTTTTTCACTTTCCCTTTCTCTCACTCTCAGTCTATCTCTGGTCAAATTAAAAAATAATAATAATGATAGTAAATAAAGTAAATAACTCTTTTTTAAAAAGGAGGTGGGGGCAGCAGGTGGCATGGTGGTTAAGGCTGCTGGACTACCACAAGGTCGACCATGGTTCAAGTCCTGGACCTGGTGACTGGCTTTCTCATTTTCCCTTTCTCTCTCTTTTTTCTCTCTGTCTCTCTCTGGTTAAATTAAAATAAGTAAATAAATAAAATAAAAGTTAAATAAAGTAATTCTTTCCAAAAAATTTTTAAAAAGGAGGGGTGGGGTTCTGGGTTCAAGTCTGAAGACCTCCCTGAGTATGCTGGGTACACTGCGTGCCCATAATCTGGGGCTGACTGAAGCTGGGGCATGTCATGGCATCAAGACCCTGTTAGAGGTGCTGTCTCTCAGCCTCTCTCTCTGTCTTTCTTGCTCATGGAAAAAAAATGAAGTAAAGTTAAAAAAAAAAAAAAAAAGGAACTCTTTGCCTCCCAACAATGCATCAAGGAATCGTCACCACCTGTGAGGCAGTGGGGGCTGCAATATTTTGGGGCACTCTTACCAGACCCCACGGCGCACTCCATAAACACCGGCTTCTTTCACACCTACCGTCTATGGGGTCTATTGGCGGCTCTGAGAACGAGGGCATAAGCGTCATCGGTAGACTAGCTCCACCCCTTCTCCAGAAACGCTTGTTCTCTTATTTTAGCTATGAGATGTCCTAAGAAGACACGCCTAGTGGGGAAAGGTATGCTATTTCAGATTTTTGCAACAACTGTCATTTGGGGAAAGTCACAACCCATGAATTCATTTTATTTATTTATTTAGGTTTTAGTTATTGTTAAAAGCTGTGTGCGCTCACCAGAGACAGAAAGAGAAATAAAGAGAGAGGGAAAGTGAGAAATCACCCCCGCCAGGGGAGATGGCCATGCCGCAATTGCTTCTCCTCCAGTCTCCTCTCAAGATTTTTGGCATGCACGCACGCACGCACGCACGCACACACATGCACCTGGCATGGTTTTCAGGCCTTGGGGTCCAAGACTAACCATTCACGCAGTTAGTCATGTAGGATCCAGCACCTTAACCTCCACACCACCTGCTGGCCTATGAATTCATACATTTTAAGGATGGCCGTGTGTCTTGCTCAGAAAACTTCTCAATGACTGAAAAAGCCTGGCATTTGCTGTTGTCTAAGAATCCACAAGGGGGGGTTAGACCAAGCCCCAGGTAGAGAACCCATGTGGATGAAAACAATACAACCTTAGAAGAGTATTTCTCAAACTGATGATTACAACCTATTATTGTCTCATGAATTTAATTTGATATAATGATCAGCCCATTTTTAAAAATGCAACAGAATATCAGAGCTCTGATGGCACTGCATATAACAGAGCTAGGTAATATATTGAGGAAAGTTCACTTTCAGCAATGTGTAATGATTCAATATGTATTTTTTAAACAATTATTTTATGTCACTTTATTTTTATTCATTTTTCTAATTTGATCAGAGAGGGACAGAGTGAAAGAGACAGAGGGAAAGGAGAAAGCAAGCCAAGTCCAGGAATCAAACCACAGTCGGCCGTGTGGGAGTCCAGAGCCTTTAACCACCACGCCACCTGCTGGCCCCGCCATATGTATTTTTAAATGTAAGTCATAGTAAAAAAAAAATTTGAAAATCACTAACCTTAGAAAGTCATATATCTACAAAGAAATCCCTAGACTTTGAGAAAGCTGAAACAGAGGTTTGCCTTTCTTTGTGGTTAAAGAGGCAGCTAAACAGGGGGAGGTGAGCTGCCCGCTGCTCCCCTTTCCGGATGCCCCCGCTTCCTGCACCGTCACTAACTCACAGAAGGGCACATGGCTGGCTGACCACCATCCATAGGTGGGGGAGCATGACGTGCCCCCAGCATAAGCCCTAGCATTCTCCAGGTCACACACCCACCCTGCCTACTCTCCCTTCCTCCCTCCTCTCCCTCCCTCCCTCTCTAGATCTCTGTGTTCTCTTAGCCTGACTAGGGATTTTGCTAGTGCTGTACGTCCCCGTATGGATTCCTCCCAGCACTCCGAAGATGGTGACTTCTGTAAGTATGGAGAGTAAGCAGAAAAGGCCATCTTTGCCCTAAAATGAGGTCTTGAACAAGCCCGAGTCTCTTCTGGTAGTTCTGAAGAGCTAAGGGGATCAACGCCTTTGCCCTTTTCTAGCCCATGAGTGCACCTACGTTCAAATGTAGTCACGGCGTTTACCAAGCACTTACTAGGTATGAGGCATCTTGCTATTCAAATTCATAACTGTTGTCTCATGTGCTACATTCCTCGGGGGTAAGAGTCTCAACTAAGGTCACCTAACTAGTCAGTTTAAAAACAGGTGCTGAGGGGCCAGTGGGTGGTGTAGTGGATAAGGTGTTGGACTCCCATATGGCAGACCACTGTTTGAGTGCTGGACCAGGCGGCTTGAAATCTACACTGGGCACATGTGTGTGCATGCCCCAAATCCCAGGAGAAGGGATTGTGGCGCGGCCATCCCCTTGGGGGTGATTTCTTGCTTTCTCTCTGTCTCTGTCTCTCCAGCAAGCACACATGCCCAATAAAAAAATCTCTGTCAAAAAAAATTAGGTTCTGATCCAAGTCTTCTACTCCATACCACTTCTCCCAGGCCTAGCTGAGAGATAGGCCTCGTGAAAGAGCCTCATTTGCTTTTCACAAGAGGAGCCTGGGGAAGCCTTTGATTCTGAGCTGGTGGAGGGCAGC